TGTATTTCCAGACAGACAACAACAAACATTAAATTTATTACCATCAAGAAATCCAAAATTTGAATCATTGAATTCAAAACTTGAATCATTGACAATCAATCAAAAACTTATTTTGCTTTTTGCAAGTTGGATTGATAAAAAAAATCCACCATACACTCCATTCAGGGAAGTCAAATATGAATTCAAACTTCTATATTGAAGCAGTAGAGATGGTTTAAATACAACTACATTCCATCAAAAATGTGACAATATCAACAAAACCCTTGTAGTTGATAAAATGCAAAATTCAGAGCAAATAGTTAGTTGGTGATTATAACCCACTTAATTGGAATGGAAATGGATATAAGAATACAACAGAAAGCTTTATTTTTAATATTAGTAATAGAAATGATATTAATACTGCACAATTTAGTTATGTTATTAATAATGATTATGAGCATGCAGTTCATTGTATTCCTAATAAATTACCTAATTTTGGTAGTGGTTGTGACATTTGGTTTAGTAGGGATGGTAGTTTTGGTGGTAAACCAAAGACTTATAATAACATCAATATAGTAGAAAGTAGATTTGATGAATTAGAAATTTTTCAAATAATTGATACAAAATAAAAATAATAAATACAATATGTTGACTATAATTTCAGGTATTATTTAGAGATCCTTTTTTAAGATTTAATTGTAACATGTGGTTGACCAACAATTTTCATTTTTATATTCTTTTAAAAAAATTGAATTTGATATTTGAAAAATATTTAATGAAAATGAAAGATTATTAAATAAATACTGAAGATTTTTATGATGCAAAAATATATGTTGGTGCAGAACCAAATATTAAAGAAGTTCATGCACATGCTGATGAACAATATTAATATTAATATGTTTAACTAGGACCCCGGAAACTACATAGATAGGTTACCCTAAAATTTTCAAAATTTACTAATGAGTTTACCCAACATTTTTTATATTAGGTTTACCCAAGTTGGTAATAACCCTTTAACCTTCAATAATAAACTTACCCAAAAATATGCATGACAAAAAATTTTTTTTTTATTTAAAAATTTAAAAATAAACAAATTTTCAATTTCTCACTATATTAATTAGTTTGGTTAAATTTTCTTTTTGTGCAAAAAAATTATAAATATTCAATGAGTCTTGAGAGACTGATAGAATCCCAGCAAAATCACCAGAATTATAACAATTGAAATTTGAATTAGTACCAAAATAATATATTACTTGTGAAGGCTTGATATGCACATATAAGTTTCCACCTAATTCACATTTTTGTGAAAATAAACCTTCTGTGATTCTAACAAATGCAATTATAGAAATATAAGATAAAACATCAATGGAATCAATAGAATTAGATACATAAGCATGTCTATTCCCAATTAATTTAAACATAGAAATCACTTTTCCAACTACTAATTGTTCATCAATAATAAATAATAAATATCCATTTTCTACTAATGGATGAAATGAACTGACATTAGCAATTCCAATATCGTTAACTATAACAAATAATAATTATACCAAAATGTTAAGAAAAATTAAATAAAATAAAAAAATCCAACCAATTTAAAAATTTACACACCAATTAAATTCTGTGGAATGGGAATAACATCTGCTATCCTCCTTCTTCCAGTCCAACGAGATATTCTTGATCTATTCACTTCTATATTGTCATTTTGCAACATTTCTGTAATAATTGAATTTGCTGAATTCCTATCAATATTATTGTCATCATTTAATAATTCACTGTAATTGAATTTCTGACTAGGTTTTTCTGATCTTGAAAAAGCATTATGCAATTCTCTTAATTTTATAATATTAGAAATATTTAAAATATTATTTTGACTAATTAATTCTATATCAAATTCAATTTGATCAGGTAAAACTATATCTTCAATTAAAGTTTCATTATCTAAAATAAAACTGATTTCTGTTTTTGAAATATTATTTTCTTCCTCAAAAGTAATATTATCATCATTAGCTACTAACTGTGCAATTTTTGCTACCTCTGCTGCCACATCAGTCCATGATTCATCAACAAGTTGATTATTTAAATTATTACCACTTTCATCTATTTCAGATGTATTTGGTTCATCATCATGTAATATTGGAAAAATGGTGGGAATTTCATTTTCCAATAATCTTATTCCTAAAAATTTGTTGAAAACTGTTGCTTGTTTATACCCAATTCTTATTGCATCATAAATTTCTTCGTTGGTTGGCCAAATTCTCAAAGTATCAATATTTTTCTTCGAACAACGTTGAAATTCAAAATCATGAATGTAACCTGCAATAAAATAATTTTAGTCTGAATTTTGAGAAAAACTTTTTTCTTTTAAAAATAGTTATTCTTACCAGCAGCAGAAGTTTTATCTTTCTTAACATCAAAGTTTCCTTGTCTAATTATTTTATCTCTAT